GGTAGGGAAATAGAAGAAGCTAGAAAAGGGAGGAAGGAGAGGTGGGGGTAAATGTGGCCAAATAATGATAAAAGAAACGAGGGAATAAGTGGGGAATGTGCCAACTCTCATATCACAATGGACTATCAACCAACAAATTTGTGAGTGAGTGGGGCAGATTGCACCGACTTAGCATTTCCTTCCCATACTTTGCTACCCATTTAATATCATATCACTTTTAGTATTTCAAATATATATCACACACGATCCTAAGAAAGCGGGACGAAGAGAGCTTGGCGCAGATTGGCAGATTTATTAGACATAGCAGTAACTAATAAGACCATAAAAAGACACAATAATGGAAAGAAAATGAAACGTACATGTGTAGATAGCTAGACGAATGTTATAGGGAGGATATATGAACATAACATTAATGCAGAAATATATATATATATATAAATGATTACCGATACAAATAGTTAGATGGCCTGAAGTGCTTCCATACTACTTCATCTCCTAATTATAAAACCTCATTTATAATTCACAAACAGGTCTTATAATTAGTCTTAATTATAATTACAAGAGTCAAAGAAAAAGGAAGCCAAAGAACGGAGACAGATCTTATACTCGCACAGATTAAGAGAGGATACCACACATAAAGAGAAAGAGAATATGTTTGATTGGACAAATAATAAATTTGCAATTTTTGTGCTCTTTTTGTTCCCCGGCCCCCACTTGTTATTGACGTGGACGATGAGGTGGGAAACAATTTGCTGACTGAATCGATGAATTAAAATAGGAGTGACAAGGGTCACAGTGAACGTATATTCTTCATGTTTTCTGGAGACCCAAATGAGACTCCATTCTCCCTCTCCCTCTCTGTCCGTCACTATTGCCCGTACGCACCACAGATTTTTTTAATTCTTCCAACATCTTTGACATGTGGTCACACTTCATATCGACGCCCATTTCTAATATTTTATGATGTCTCTCACGCTTTCAGTACGATGTTCTGTAACACAACACTAATTCGCGATATCGTTGTGTATATACGAATGCGCCTCTCGCATTCTCGAGAGTGTGAAGGCTCCAACTTGTGTTTCAGAAAAGCTGTGTGAACGCTCCAACTTCTGTATCACAGCAAAAGCTGATGCTTTTCCCGGAATCCTACCTAAAGAGACTGCACGTGGGCGCTTAAATTTTCATTCTCTTCCCATCTATCATAACATCATTGGTCTTACCCCTTTTGAACCGTTTCATCTCATCACAGCTACGTCTCAACAGTCAACAGTGCATCTTTGGTAAAAGCAACCCTCGGAAATTATAGTCGATGGCATTATATTATTGGTATTAAATTTAAAAAGGAAGGGCTAAAACAACCACGTACCGGAATTAACTTGAGGCTTGGGCCTACGTTGCACCATGCATCACTCGCTTTCAGTCCCTCGACCTCACATGCGCTCACAGCCAAGCCCACCTTCACAGTGCTTTCTTATGCCTTTTTAATGCTAACCCCTTCCCTTCCCTTGCCTTCTCACTTGTTGACGCACCACACCCACCACCTTCTTCCATTTCTTACAAACATGAAGCATCTTCTTTCTTGCTCTCCTCTCAAAAACTTGCACCGTCGATCCTCTCCTCTGGTTGCTCCTATTACTCCTACTATGTCCCTCCATCGTCTTCTTTCCATTCACCATAGTCCCATTTTCCTCCAGCTCTTGTACTTCATAATCATGTCTCTATTGGGTTTCCTTGGTCTGAAGATCTCAAACCCCAGAATCCCTGTTCCCCACAACGCCTTTGATCTCTTTTTTACCTCTGTATCTGCATCCACCGTCTCCAGCTTGTCCGTCGTAGAAATGGAGGCTTTCTCCAATTCCCAGCTCATTCTCATCATCTTCCTCATGTTCCTTGGCGGTGAGGTTTTCATCTCCATGCTCGGCCTTCTATTTTCTTCCTTCATTCTCTCGGAAACAGAGCCTTAAGGACGGACCAAATCCTCTTCACCTCAAGCAGCGCCCTCCAATTCCGAGTGCCAATCAAATCGAGATTGGTTTAGTTTCTATGCACAAGCAGAATGATGTTAGTTCTGGTGATCACGGTGATGCTAATATTGTTCAAAATGATAAGATGAACAAGCTGAAGCATCACTCTATAAAGTGTCTTGGGTTCGTGATCTTGGGTTACCTTGCGGTACTTCACATGGTTGGTTCTGGTTTGGTCTTATCCTACATAAGTATCATCCCAAGTGCAAGAAAGGTGCTAAGAAACAAAGGGATCAACATACACACATTCTCTGTGTTCACCGTAGTGTCCACTTTTGCCAGTTGTGGCTTTGTGCCGACAAACGAAAACATGTTTGTGTTCAGGCATAACCCAGGTTTGCTGTTACTTATTTTGCCGTTTGTTTTCCTCGGGAGCACCTTATACCCACCATTCTTGAGGCTTGTGATTTGGATTCTGGAGAGAGTGACATAGAGAAGAGTTTTCTTACATTCAGAGGAATTATGAGGTGCTGGGCTATGACCACATGCTGTCCCGTGTTCATTGCTTGTGCCTCGCAGCTACGGTTTTGGGGCTGAATCTGACGCAATTCGTGTTGTTCTGCTACATGGAGTGGAAATCGGAGAACATGGAGGGCCTAAATACCATTCAGAAATTAATTTCGTCTTTGTTCCAGATTTCAAATGTCAGACATGCTGGTGAATCTGTTTTTGATCTTTCTACGCTCTCTTCGGCTACCCTGGTGCTATTCGTTGTCATGATGTAAGTATTTTTCTTTACTCTCTCTGCCTATTTCCATGGAGATAGAGTGAAACATATTGTAAGCCAACTCAATATTTGGTCTTCAAATTTCCCTATTAGGACGGTTTTTCTTTCTTCTGAAACAGTACAAGTCCACAATACAAGTTTTAGCCACCACTAGCGTTATTTTTCCTTCTTGTGGTGCTATTGAAGCTCCAAACTCGTAATCCTTTTTTTTTTGGTTGAATTTTGGCAGTGAAAACATTCTTTTTATGTTATATATATCGGCGCTCATAATTGACCTTTCTCTTGTTCCACGTCGTTTGGTGTGGCTCACAATTAATTGAAGAGGAATAATATTATTACATATGAATGGTGGACTATATATAGATGTACAGATATATACATGAAAGAAGATAATCTATTTGAAGAAAGAATATCAGAATTTGAGTTGCATAAATTTGTTCCTTTACAAATAACTACTGCAGGTATCTGCCACCATACACAACATTTCTGCCCATGAGGGATCCCGAAAATGATAGACAGAAAGAAAAAATAAGCCTAAGGGAGTGTCTTGTTTCCTCTCAACTATCTTATTTGGTGATGTTTATTATACTGATTTGCATCACGGAGAGCAGAAGCTTGAGAGAAGATCCCCTCAACTTTAATGTGTTCAACATCGCCCTTGAAGTAATGAGGTAAACGGGTTGATCAGCTTAATTTTATATATATATATATATATATATATATATATAAAATGAAGGAGCGGAATGCTAAAGAAATTACATTTAACAATATATGCAGCGCGTACGGCAACGTGGGGTTCTCAATGGGATATAGCTGCAAATTGAGATTGAAAGCAGACGGGAACTGTAGAGATAAGTGGTTTGGATTTGCAGGAAGATGGAGTAACAAAGGAAAGCTGATCCTTATAGTCGTCATGGTGTTTGGCAGGGTCAAGAAATTCAACATAAATGGTGGCAAAGCTTGGCTTCTGTCCTAGTTATTCAAAACTCACACAATATACAGAGAGATGCTAAGCTTTGCCACACCTCTCATATACGAATTACCCATAAGACGCCCTTGTATAACATGCAAGACACGCTTATAAATTGCGTCTGTCCTACGCATAGCAAACTGCTATATATATATATATATATATATATATATCACCACCTTTAAATTAAGCAAGTTTTGTGATGGCATCCAGGTTGTGATTTTATACAAACACAGTCACGCGGACAAAATTTATAGAAATTCATTATTTACAGGTCACAAATAACGCAGTTAATATTAATTTTTGTGCAAAGAATGATCACAAACCAATCTAAATATGTGTTTTAAGTACTAGTACTCTTAATGATGACATCCAGCTCCTAACTTGTAAGTTTAAAATCTAGTGGCCTGTAATTATAATATTCTAATTTTTATACATAAGAATCCTAAACTTTTTATAGAAATAGTATCGATGTTAACATTAGTTTGCTCAATGGATGAAATGGATTTTCGCGTCTTTGATCTTTTTGAGATGATCTTTCTTTCTTCTTCTTCTTTTTTTTTTTGGTCCGAAATATTTTTAGATGATCTCAGTATACATTATTTAAGATAATAAGATTTCGTGAGTGCTAACCTAGCTATAAATAATTGGAGCAGAGATCACACTTCCTTGAATGAACTAGTATAAAGGCCGATCCATTGAGTCAATATCAAAATTATCCAGAAACAGAAATAAATCTGGCCAATTTAACCAAAAAAAAAAACTAGCCATATGGAAAAAGTCATTAATTAGTGATTTATCCCAATAATTATGCTCAGCTCGAATGAAAAGTTTCAACAGATATTTATACATCTGTGGGTTTAATTCCCACACTTGGCCATTTTTAGTTCCTAAACTCTGAAGATGTTTTTAGGCAGTTTTTGTGACCGGAAGGTCACTAGTACGTAGATTACAACAATCTCGGGTTCCAGGTAGGTTACTTTGCGGGGATGCTATCGCTTTTGAATAATTAATCACGGTGATATATTTTAGACGTGAGACACACAGCACACATGTTTAATTTTACTGTGTTGTACAAAGACATACAATTGGATGATAACGAGAGAATGAGCATTTTATTCCACGAGAGAACTTTATTAAGAAAGATATATAATAAAGTCACGAGACGCTAGAAAACAAAAGGGAGGCGCATTGTTTTTGAACTGATGAGCCTGTGAATCAGAGCCTGCCAGAACTAAGCTTAAAATCAAAGCCCTGAAGACGAGGGAGATGAATGAAGTGTGTGTATAAGAATGGTAGGAGGGAGCAGGTATGGAGTTGCGTTATGCTTGGCCAGCGTCGCCCTGCTCAATAGCATCCATGCCCTCAACATAGGAGCTCAAGCCACTGGAGTTGCTGTCTCCCTGGTTTGTTTGTTTCTTAGTGGTATTATATAGCCATTTATTGTAACACGCACCCGCGGTTCGATCTGCTAATAACTCATGTGCAACTCTCTCTCTCTCTCTCTCTCTCTCTGTGTCTATGCATACAGGAGAAAAACTGCAGCAGAAGTTGCGAGTCAAGCTTCTGTTCAGGTAGGTGGGTGCGACCTTCGATGATTATATGTTGTGCAGTTTTGGATTGGATTGGATGGATGGTATTGTTGATGATGAATATAATATAATGTGGAATCAAAGTCGCTCCATTTCTGAGATATGGCAAGTACTGCGGCCTCCTCTACAGCGGGTGCCCCGGAGAAAGGCCCTGCGACGGCCTGGACGCTTGTTGTATGAAGCATGACCAATGCGTAGGACACAGAGAGTAATACAATTATTAAGTTATTAACTTTCATTTTGGTAGGAATATAATGCAGCACTCACTTTGATATTCGACGGACGATGAATTTAACTAACTTGGAATAAATGATACACACACACACACACAGAAGGGTACTTGAGCCAAGAATGCAGCAAGAGGTTGATAAAGTGTATGAAGAAATACAGCAAGAGGGGAAGCAGAAGCGGGACTTTCCAGGGAAACACGTGCCAAGTGGAGGAGGTCGTTCATGTAATCCTCTGTGTCATGAAGGCAGCCCTCTTCGCCGGAAGAGTTCTTCGCAGGCCCTAACTAGCTTCCTCGCTTCCACTTCATTCTTCATACTCCTCATCTCTTCTTTTATTTGTCTAATCTCTTCATCTCTTTCATTGCTGCAACTTCATTAAATTAAATCAGTCAATTTAGTCTTAGCTTTTGTCTCAATAATTCACGTTGTTTGTTCAGAATTACACTTCACAGTTATTGCAGCCCCGCCCTCTTCATCTCTTTTCACCTAATTCATCATTCTACCTCCGCTTTTGATTTGACAACCTTGTGCAGAAATATAAATGTGGAGCAGTTATACACATTTTGTCAAACTTACATTAATAATTCATGCAATTCAGATCAGGACTTACATTAATAATTCATGCAATTAAGATCAGGAAAACTATTCCAAAACAAACGTCCCACAAAATTTACACCATTTCCCATTTCCTACGATGCAAAGAAAAATTAATATTTTGTTTGATTTAAGGAAGGGGCATGAGATCAGTAGGAGAGGAAATGGGGAATGGGAGAAGTGATATTTTGGAGAGTTCAATTCTTTCTTTTTCTTCTTCTTCTTCTTCTTCTTCTTCTTTTTTTTTAATTACAAGTGCCTTTTCATTCCACTGGAATTGTATATATATATATATATATATATATAGAAAAATATGTAAATTGATATTTTTTTGGAGATAATTTTACTAAAATTAGTAATTATAAATTAATTACAGCTGTCCTAGTTTAATTTTTTTTACCTTCTATATGTTAAATAAAAAATAATTAACTTGTTTTATTTAAAAATTATTTTATTCCGTAGATATTAAAAATATAAGCAACCAATTTTTTTATTTATTATTTGTTACTATGTGTAAATTGAAGTTACAAACAACCAGGATTATTCATAGTTGCACAACGGCCCTAAATTAAATTTATAAATTATAGATTTGACCCTCATTTTTTAGGGAATTAATTGCGAGATTAAAATTGCATTATTTTTAAGAATAAAAGGGTAAAGTTGCTACTGAACAAATATTTTAAAGTCAAAATTTTATAAAAAAAATTAATTTGATAAATATTATTTTTCTTGCCAACTAATCTAAAAAAATAAGAAGATATTTTATGATCGTACCTTAGCCGGATTAAAAAAAATAGAAAAATTGTAATAAAGTCTTATCTAAGAAAATTAAATACAAAAATATTTATTAAAATTATCAAATTATTTTGAAGTTTTAAAGGACCTCATTATAATAAATTTTATTTGTTTAATTAACAAATTACTCTTTTTTTTTTAAATATGCATTAACAACTAAACAAATAGTGGTTAACAATTTAAAGTGTAACGATTAACAACTATCGCGATAGGTATTAATAACATATTTTCTCATCTCATTACAAAAATATAATGCATGAATTATCAATTTATACCGTAATAGTTATTAATCATTACACCTTAGGTTATTAGTAACTGCTCTTTTAGTTGTCAATATATATTTTAAAAAAAAGAACAATTTGATAATTAAACAAATAATTTTTGTAATAAGATCCCTTAAAATTTTAGAATAATTTGATAATTTTAAAAAAAAAATTTTATTTAATTCTCTTGCATACGATCTTATTACACTTTTACCCAAAAAAATTAGTCCCTCTTGAAATTATAGGTGGGGAATTTTTTTGGCCAAAAGAATGTGGGACAAAGCTCTAATCCCATTGGTCAGCTTCCCTTTGACGGTCCAATTGTAATGCGACACGCGGTGGCTCCTCGTCGGGATATCCCTTTGAAGCACCGTTGTCTTCAACCTCCATCGGTTCACCCACCCTGCGCTCTGCTTCTGATAGCGATCCTCCACCTACCCGGACGCCCTCCAACCTTCAGTCTCACTCCATCCGCCTCTTTACTTTCCTCCCATCCCATCTATCGACAACAACACTGAGCCAAGACGGCATCTTCTTCAGCACCATTGCAGACTCGCTTCCCAATATGGGTTCTGATCTTTCGCCCGACGTCCTGAATTCTACCAAGCCCGTTCCTTTACCTACCGAAGAGGAAACCCCTCCTTCCACTGCTCTCCTCTCCTTCAACACCGATTCTTCTTCTTCCTCCGCCTTCAATTCTCACAAACTCTCCTATTCCGTCATCTTCATCTCTCTCACCCTCATTTCCTGCATTGCTTTCTCCGCCGCCGCCGCCTTCGCCTTCCTTTTCTTCTCCGCCGCTTCCTCCTCCTCAACCTTCACCAACCACTCCACTTCTTCCTTTGCTTCCCCGAAAGCTCGTCCCCTCCAGAAGCTCAATCACTCCGTGGTTCTCTTGATTTCTTCCGATGGTTTTCGATTCGGCTACCAATTCAAGACTTCTACGCCCAATATTCACCGTCTGATTGCCAACGGAACTGAAGCCGAAACCGGCTTGATCCCGGTGTTTCCCTCTCTAACTTTCCCCAATCACTACTCCATCGTGACGGGTCTCTACCCTGCCTATCATGGCATCATCAACAACTACTTTTTGGATCCTCAAACTGGTGAACTTTTCACCATGGCTAGCCACGAACCCAAGTGGTGGCTGGGCGAGCCCTTGTGGGAGACCGTGGTCAACAACGGGTTAAAAGCTGCAACATATTTCTGGCCTGGCGCTGAGGTAAATAAAGGTTCTTGGACTTGTCCTGCCAAATATTGCAGGCATTATAATGGTTCTGTTCCATTTGAGGAAAGAGTGGATGCAATATTGAAGTATTTTGATTTGCCTAGCGCTGAGATTCCTTCATTTATGACGCTGTACTTTGAGGACCCTGATCATCAGGGTCACAAGGTTGGTCCCGATGATCCAGAGATCACTGAAGCTGTTGCTGGGATCGATAGGATGATAGGGAGGTTAATTAGAGGGTTGGAACAAAGGGGTATTTTTGAAGATGTTCATATTATTATGGTGGGGGATCATGGGATGGTTGGTACATGTGACAGGAAGCTAATTTTCTTAGATGATTTGGCTCCCTGGATTGAGATTCCGAAGAGTTGGGTCCATTCGTACACTCCATTGCTCGCAATTCGTCCACCTCCTGGCAATGACCCGTCAGATGTTGTATCTAAGATGAATGAAGGATTGAAATCTGGGAAAGTTGAAAACGGGAAGTACTTGAAAGTGTATCTCAAGGAGGACCTGCCTGGCCGGCTTCATTATGCGGCGAGCGATAGGATTCCACCAATAATTGGTTTGATTGAAGAAAGTTTCAAGGTTGAGCAGACAAGAACAAAGCGCAAAGAGTGTGGTGGTTCACATGGCTACGACAACTCAATTTTCTCAATGAGGAGCATTTTTATTGGGCATGGTCCTCAATTTGCAAGAGGGAGGAAAATCCCATCGTTTGAGAATGTTGAGATTTATAATTTGATCACTTCTATTCTCAAGATTAAGGGTGCATCCACTAATGGTTCTGCCTCATTCGCAGAGTCAGTTCTTTTACCTGGTGCGTAAACATATACAAGTTAGCAAAAATATATGATTGAGAAGCCAAGATGCATGATTAAGTGTTTTCTTGGATGGATGGATGCTCAGAATCAGAGGTCAGAATTATAAACATGATGCGGCGTTTCCAAGGGAAGAGACATCGTATTCCTGGGCTTGAGATCCCTGAAAGAGTCTTGTACGTAGAATTTCATCAGTTCTGAGCTGCTCAAGTAGTCGCCAAGCTTGCCTATCTTCAATGCTTATGAGTATGTAACTATGCAAGTAATATGCTCACCCAAAATTTTGATTTTATTGAGACAGAATGAGATTACCACTTGGATGTCAAACTCTCTCCTCCTCCGTTGTATATGATTTTTCTTCTGTCAAAGCCCTTGTTAAATTGCATATTATGTTTTTGCCGGGCCCTGACTTTTCCAATGGTTTTTTTTTAGCGTCGATCAATCTTATCTGTTAGATGATCTTCTGTTTAAAAACTTCACCTTTACATCACTGCCGTTTTCTAAATTTAGTAAATCCTGGCTGCACAATTTTCATGTTTAATATTCTATAGAAAACGCGCCTAAGACTTGAACCCTTGGACTGATCCCAAAGGGGAAGGGGGAAAAAAAAGAAGCATAGAGGAGGCGTTATATGTAAACTTGAGATCTGGAGAAAGGAAAACTTGCTGTTATAGCTAGCGTTTTTTATCATTGACAAGACTTTATTAGGAGAAGTTGAGTTTCTTCATTTATAAAGCCTTTCTTTCTATTCTGATTTCACATAACATATAATGATCATATGAAATAATAAATGTATGCACAAGGCCCAGCGGCTAGTTCCTTATTTATTGAACCAAACGGACTGTTTTAACTCAGTGGAAAAGTAACACCATGATGAGGCGGAAGTCATCATCTGTTCAGATCCGGAGAAGAGCTTTTTCCCCTTTTCATAAAACGCCAGTATATTTGTAATTGAAAGAAAACTAATTTTTTGGTGTTTTGGATGTCAAAAGGTTTAAAAAGAAGAGTTTTAATAAGAGCAAACCCTGGGAGAAGTTAACACCTCTAACATCATCTGCAAAGACGGTAATAAGCCCGGGACAGGAAAGTCACGTGCGACAATCCCAATATGTAAAGGTTCAAGTCTTAAAACATCTCAAATTTATAGAACCAACCAGGTGGGAGGATTTTAAGCTGTGCCGTGAAGCAAGAACGCTTCAAAACGCGAATGAATCCTGGCGACGTGTAGAAATGAAATTGGTTACTTTTGTGTCTTCCGGAATCAAGAAACAGAGGATGTTATTGGGACCCGTAAGGCCGTGACACAGCTCATGCAGCCCTGTTCTGCCTAACGAATCGGTGATTTGACTTTTGGACTCAATCTTCAGCGTTGTATTTTATCCGCTCACCAGAACACCAATCAGAAAACTTCTATTTTTCGTTGTTTTTGCTTACACGGCTTGATTTGTGACCTATAGAGATGACAGCTGCTCTGAAGTATGAAATTATAAGATTTCGAAATTGTATTTATCCGCAGCTTTTCTTTACACTTAACGTCAGAAATGAAAGCTGCCTTCAATATTTTATATTACAGGGGATCTGCAGCGCCGTGATTTTGCACTTTCTGGCTGATTTAAGATGAAGTGAGGATTTATTCTATTCTATTCTATCGTGATCGCTGACTGTGCTCTTGTCTGATCTTGATTCATAGAAAAAGAGTGAGGCGAATAATTCCCTTTTTAGCGGTGCTCCATGGATGATACATCATCAAGTTGTCCTCCTGTCCTCTCACTCTTCCGGCTCCGGTTCAGATCGCATCATAAATTTTTGGCACTTATAATGATGAAGTTACAAAATTGACAAAAAAATAAAGGCCGGATTAAAATCGAGGGCGAAAACTATAATTTTGCTGAAGTCACATGATTACTAGTCAATGCCTCGTGCAACTCTGAATTCTAAAATTTAGGAGATGCTCCCTTCCAATCCCCTGCCTCTGAAAAAGTGAAGAGATCCGCAATAGTCGCCCATGTTGGTTTATTGACATGTTAGGGAGTTATGAATGGGATGACCCGAAGGAAGATGTTAGGGTTTTGAAACAGAAGATGTCAAGCACGTCATACCTCGAGATCCCATCAGGGCGCCCTTTACGTCATTGCTCTGAAGAGGAATCAAAATGAGCTCATCTGGATACGGAACGATCTCAGAAGAGGAGCCGGAAGAAGCGTCGTCGTCAAACAAAGAGTTCCTGCAGCGGGCAAAAGAGCAGCTCCAAACAATTGTGGGCACAGCAAAACCATGGAAGGACATGATGCATCCTTCTCGCCTCGCACGGCCATTCTCCTTCTTCAACTCCGTCCAGAGAATGAAGAGGAATGCGCGTGTTTTCCGCACGAACTACGTGGTGGTGATATTGTTCATGGTGTTGCTCACTTTGCTGTGGCACCCCCTCTGCGTCATCATATACTGCGCATTGATGGCGGCATGGATGGTGCTGTATTTGGTGCGAGATAACCCCCCGAGGGCTTGTGGGTATGAGATTGACGAGAGATTGGTGGCGGTGTTGCTGCTAATTGTGACAGTGGGATTGGTATGTCTGAGCAACGTGACAGATAACATATTAGTGGGAGTGGGCGTCGGGGTGTTGATTGTGTTAGTTCATGCTGTTCTGAGAGAGACAGAGGAGGATGAAGAAGATGAAGCAGGCATTCGTCTGAGACACGCTGCTTCCTCTTCTTTCACTACCTAATTGAACTCTATTTCCCTCCTCCTTCATACTAAGAGCGTGTTTGGATAGAAGCTAAACTATGGTTTCAGAAGTGCTTTTACGGATTACGAAGTAAATATGTGGAGGAGGTTACCTCGTTTTGCGGAAAAGTGATTTTGAAACTGTGGTTTTGGTTTTACCAAACACCCTCTAATTCTCATAACTAGCTAATCATTAATCCCAACCGTCTCAATTTTATATCTTCTTCCACTTCCCCATCATTCATGAAATAATCCTCCGTTACATGACATAATATCCAAATATTCAAATTGTTTTAGCCCTTTTTTAGTGATATCTGAATATTAAATGTTTTTTTATCAATTTTGTCCTAATTAATTTTATATTCTCTTTTCTCATTCTTTCTCATATTATATTCTCTTTTATATTTTTATCTTATTACTAATATTTTTCTATTTGTTTCCTCCTTATTAAATAAGGAATACTATAGAAAAATTCAATTTTTAAATATTTATTATTTTCTTAAATCACTTAATTCGGTTAAAAAAAACTTATAAACTGCACAAGAGCGGAGGGGCCCCGGCCAGGTCCTCATTCTGTTCTACTTCCAATCAAGCCACTATTTTGTTTTATTTTGCCTCGTCATGCATTAAACTATGCATATAATCCGAGTATTGTTTTTGTTTCAAAATTATACGCTAATTATAAGTTAATTCTTTTGACATCTAAAACTACCATTTTGGCCAACTTCTTATTCATTTCATGTGCCAGTACAATTAAATTTTTAGGTATAATATTGGATTTGTATTATAAACATAATAACTACTGAAATAGTGCAATGATTTTTTTTTTTTAATTAAGGGTGGATAAATAGTACAATAAAATCAGGTTGGGGTGTTGCTGCAAAGCAGCACCTTGAACTGGCACTTTGGCGCGATGGACTGAATCAGCAGCCTCCCTGTTCCCTCCTGCTTCACCGTCGCTCCCACCTTCTCCACCAACACCGCCGCCACGATTTCCTCGTATTTCCCTCCTCCACCTGCCACGAACGCCACCAACGCCGCCTGCACCGGCCCCATGCTCGGGTTAAAAGCCGCCGACTCCATGTATGACCCTTTGTATATCTTGCCGCCGCCGTCCATCAGAGCCGCCCCCGAGGGACACCCACTGTACGGTGCGTGAGACTTGTTAGCAGCTTCTAAAGCCGCTATCTTCAGTTCCTCATTCACTATGTACCCATTCGCTAAGTCATGGCTTTCCTCCGAGATGGAGAGCCCGTTGTGGCGCGGTTCTAAAAGCAGAGGAGCGTCCTCGGGGAGAAGGTCGTGGGGTCCAAATCTGTGGGATAGGAATTTCGACAAAGGGGTAAAATCTCGGGTTTCATCGGAGGCGATGAGGAGCTTGATGTTCGGGGCATCGCGAATTTCTTGGAGGAATTGGCGGCAATGGCCGCACGGGGCTGCGGAAACGACGAAGCAGTCGAGACGGGGCTCCGCATTGAGGGAGAGGTTCGTGAGGAGGAATTGCTCGGCGTGAACGGTCTGGTGGAGGGGGAGACCGGGGAACTCGAGGTTGACGCCGATGAATATGCGGCCGGAAGGGCCGAGACCGACGGCGGCGACGGGGAAGTTGGAAATGGGGTGGCGAGCGAGGGACTGAGCGGAGGAGACGAGGGAGAGGAGGAAGTGGGGGAGAGGGAGGGCGGAGGATTCCGCCAAGGATCTGGCTTCCGGTGCTTGGATGAGGAATCTGGGCGGATCCATTGGCGGATGACTTTGACCGGACGTGGCAGATGTGGCAGTCGTGAATATGGACGGGTCGTCAACAGAGAGAGCAGAAATGAATCGAGGAGGAAGCGGAAGGAAATTGAATTGATTTAAATACGCTCGCTGACCCCCTCTCGTTTCAATCTGCAGACGAAAGATCTTATTGATTAATCAATAATTAATTTGGAGATAAAACGAACCCTAAACCATATATTTAGAATTAGCTGCATGATGATTAACGTGCGTTATTAATGATACAGTGGTGTTAACGTCTTGAGGCATATAGAAGAGGACAAGGCTTGGGTGGGATGGGAACAGTGAAAGACGGACACATACTTGGGAGCCCCAGTATAACATACGTATCCGATAATGGATTGGTAAGCTCGCAAGGGTCACTTTCTGCATTACTTGCGTCTCAGCGGCACCAGACAAAAAAGATATGTGGGTGTGGGGCACAGAGAGAGAGATATATATAAACTCATCATATCACAACAAAGAGTACTATACGTGATATTATCGAAAAGACTAATTAACTAAACATGTTCAGTCACCATGCAATAATGTACATATATCATATTGTCATAGGAGGGAAGTGGTATTAAACAAAACAATTAAATGATATCGTTGGCCAAAAAAAAAAAATGATATCACATGGTTGCTGGAAATACAAAGGCGTGTGACAATTATATGTGACGGTATCATATACATACATGCGTCTGGTTGAATCCATGTGTGTGTTGGGTTCAAAATCTTAGAAGAGTTATTTGCGTTTTCAATAAGAGAAGGCTGATCTATTTGTTACCAATAATTGAGATGACGTGGCGGGGTGCTTTCCATTTCCACGGGACACATAAAAATGGATTGTAGTTGATACGAGTAGTATCCAACTTTTAATAGTGACCTCAAGCTTGCACGCACATGCATTCATTCTAATCTATGACATCAACATATATATTGTCAGTTTTCTCCGTATTTTGTCATCTAAATTGAAAATTCAAACTTCCTCGTCCACTCATCTCCATCTCATTCAGAGTAGGCCCCTCCTTACCTAATCAATCGAAATTACTCCATATTTGGTCCCACAACCTCATTTACAACTCCTTCCTCTAAAACCAAGGGCATCTGTTTATATTCATATAATAATAGTGGACCAGTACTATATTAGTTCATATTCATTTAACGGCTTTCCATACGTTATACTCCACAGCATGTTTATATATGATTTAATTATTGAGTTGATTTTGATTCTAAATATAAGATTTATTCTTTATATTTATTAATTTTTTTTTAAATTATTCTTATTGATACTCTCCTAACCATTATCAAGTAAGAGAATGGATATTGAGGAATATGATTATGGTGTTTTAGAAAAAAGCATGTTCTATTTTTTATAACTAACTAACTTATTTAACTTTTTTAATTTAATCAAATTAGTTGAATAGATTTTATATTAAGGACCATAGGAGTATTTTTAGAAAGCTCATCATCATATAGTAGTGTCGTTTGGCATAAATATCTCAGACATGGATACCTGAAAAGAAAATAATCGTAATGGAGAAAAGAGAAGATGAACATGTGCATTGCGGAATTGAAGGGAAATAAATGAAAGTTGTGTTTGGCAGAGAGAGTAGTGTTGAATTGATCATAGAGCTTTTGATTTTATGAGCTGAAGTCAAGAGCATGAGTGGCTACATATTTTTTTGGGGGTATAATTTAGGACATTCTAAAGTTATTCTAAACTTGAGAATAATTCTGATCGGATCATGAGTGTTTAAGATTAAAACTCTCTCAGTAAATATATTTTTCAGAATTTGAATTTATATTCTCTTCCTTAATCACTTATTACCTCAGCTAACAGCTAACCATTTGTGGGTGTATAAGTGGGTATTTGGTGGTGTATAATATCGGGGTGTGCAGACAAAGCTGGAACCGGAGCGGGATGGGTTCGTAAGATGGGCGGGGTCCCAGCAAGGAATGGAAAGGTCACTTCACAAACAAAAGGCGAAGAGCTGGCATTACACACGCTGACAGCGGCCTTCAGATATGGCCAACTCCCCAAAATCCGAATGGTTGTGGTTTTAGGGTTTAGTAAGGCGGCGCCATTCCAATCGGGGGCGCCGTCCCACTCAAGCGAAGTGATCAGCTGGGCCCGGGAATTACATGGCCCAGCGTTGTTAGTTTGGTGTTGGGCTTGAGGCCTGTAGGAGTAAATCCATTAAGCAGGGAAATGGCTCCATTCAAGTTGATGCTTGAGATTCTGAGTCCAAAGCCGCCACCTATTTTATTTTTATCCTTCTCCCACACATTCCCACGCGTCTCCATTCTCCCAACATCATAACACTGCTTAACATGAGTCCATACCATCCATTTGGAATACAGATAATTGATAATTAAAAATTTGAATTTTACAGCGTTCAAGCGAGAACTCATCGTCTTTGGTTCACAGTAACATGTGATGATGCAAATCAAGCGAGTGGGAAGTGCCATTAGACATGGATCAGCGCAAGCAATCCCCTCACACGAGGCTAATGCAAGTGATGGGACGTTGAAGAGTTGTACTGGATAAGATGTGAGGGAGGCACAAACATCAAATAAAAGGCATAGCTTCAATCTGATAGGGGTCGGTGCTCAGTTGCTCCCCCACCTGCCTCCCCTTCCATGTGCCCCTCCCTCCATTAATTACTTGATCATCTCCTCCTTTGTCTCCATCCCACTATTTTCCATACCTCCCTCTCTTACTGTTCATTACATACATGTCTTTCTTTCTTTCATTCATTCATTTTGTTTAGCTGATGTAATTCCTGGCCATAAGCGAGCTCGTGTGCATTAAAAATCAATAATCAATAAATGGTACAATATTTGTGAGCCGGGAATCGACAGAGTACACCTTGGTAGTAAAGTGGGAAACTTAACTACAGCAAGTGTTATTGGGAACACATTGACATGCGGATGGAAAAGAAAACATGTGAGGATGTACATGAGGGGGTGTTTGGGACAGTTAAACCCAACCCCGCTTGTAGCGGTCGAAGAGCTCCTCCGTTTGGGCGTTCTTGAAGGCGCTGCAGGCTATCACGTACACAAATATGAGCACCACCACCGCCACTATCAGTATCACGTTCGCCTTCCTCCACTCTTTCCGGAGGTTGCCCAGCAGCCCTGCCTTGCACGCGTTGCAGTTGTAACACAGCTGGTTCTGATCGTTGCTCCACATGTAGCAGTCCGGGTCCGCCGTGGGATTCGCCGGGTTCACCCACATTATGGGGCTCAC